ACAAGCTACCCAAAAAAGGTAGAATCAATAAGGGGAAGTTGGGTCTGCCCGACTGGTTGATGTCCTCTGGAAGACTCGGGTCGACATCACGCTAACCAAAAAATGGACAGAACATATTTCCTGTCTTGCGACGTCTAATATTTCAGCTGAGATGTAAAGGAGCGCAAATTCAGTGTCGGATCTGTGGTGGGGGGAACTCCTCTCATGTTATATACATATGTATGTATGTACATACATACGTAAATGGTTCATAATATGGTCTTATTTACGCAAATTTCACGGTCAACTAAGCAAATATTAAAGCTTTGTTATTTAATCAGGCAAATACATAAAAATATTTAATATGCAAATTTTTGATCAACACAAAACTCAACAACGTCAATGGGAAAAAATTTCAATGTTAAGTGCAAGCGCTGCATCAGCGCGTAATGCCGTGTGGCATGAATGGCAACCAAATGTGTCCTCTAGAAAATCAGCCAACAACACATGTCCACATTAGTTAAGCAGCAGCAACCAAAGCAGAAGAGGGGGTGGACGCGACGCACCCACAGATGCTATTCGCCTTCAAGTGCTCCACCGCTGCTGCAACAGCGCCAAGTCGCGCAGCGGAGACAGTTTGGAGGCAATTCGCGTTTTTGTCATGCAAAATTTGCCTTAGAAATTAGGAATACCACAGACGCTGCACAGACACAGGAACGTACATGTACAGACATACATACATATTTAGCAGTGCATTCAGATGCTCAATGCACTTGCATTCAAGATTTAAATTAATTGTTTTCTTTTATTTTCCATTTTACATTTATTATTTTTATTTTTCCATTAAATTCAATTTCCTCGCCATTGAAGTGTCTTTTTAATTTGCGAATAGTCGTCGAAGCACACTTGAAATTTTAATTCCTTCCACTTTGGTTCGTTACACAGTAGCGAAATGAAAAAATAGCGCAACAATAACAACAACAAAAGCAAAACGATTGCAACTGTTGTCGTCATGGAACGTCCATGTTTTGTTATTGCAGTTGCTATTAAATCCATTTTCGATGTTGTTGTTGTGCTTGCTTTAACTTTTGCTGATGCCATCTTCGCCTTTAGAGAGACTACCCGGTGCCATTTGTGGCAGCTGTAACGGTGCAGTGATTTGTTGCTTCATCGAATTTTATGAGATTTATACTGGCGATTGCATGTAAATGTGAGTTGGCAATTGAATGCCAATTGGCCTGGCTGAATGCTTGTCTTGTCGCGCCGATCGAACTGACTGGTGCCGCCAGTGCACAGTGGTTCAAAATTGCCATTTTGTGTTCACAATTCACTGGAGCCTTCATGTCTCACTCAATTTGATGAATTATTTTTTAAATGAAAACGAATAAAGGTTTCAGACCAGTTGAGCACAACTTTTGAATTTTTGTTTGTTTGTATTAAATTGTTTGGTGCAAAGTTCAGAAAAAGTAGCAATTTTGAAGAAAATCGTTTCTCCTGTTTTATTTAATAAATGTTACATACAAAAAACTAGTTGAAAACAATTGTAGGGTTCCCTCAAAACGAAAAAAATTGTTACAAGGTAAATTTGAAATGTCATAAAAAGCTTTTCACCAAAATTAAGTTTTTTTTTTGTTTTTATAAAAAATTTGGGTATGTAGTTTTATAGGTCATAAAATTTTTTAATAATAGAGTACAAGGTGCAACTGGCTAAGAGTTCGCTTTGATTTTTATTTTGTAATATGTATAACAAACGCTTTTGTTTCCCATTTAGTATTACTAAAAATCAACGCGACCTCTTAGCCACTTGCAAATTGCACTTAATTATACTGCAAACCTAAAAGTTTTCTAGAAATTAATTTATTTTTTTTTAATTTTGGGGATTTTTTTTTTTATCTATAACATCAAATTTTTCTTGAAATTTTTTTCGGTTTGGGGCAACCCTACAATTGTTTTCAACTAGTGTTTTTATGTAAAATACATTAACTGGAACAGAAGAATCGATTTTCATCAAAATTGCTACTTTTTCTGCATTTTGCACTAAAAATTTAATACAAACAAAAACAAAAATCGAAAGCCGGGTTCAACTGGCCTCTCACAAATTTTATTAGCTTCCAGTTAAAAAGAAAAACTTTTCAAATTGAGTGAAAAGTGAAGGCTCCAGTGGATTTTGCACACTACATGACAGTTTTGAACCACTGTGCAGCGTTGTCATGCGGGGCCTGCGATCGACCAGGTATTGAATAGTTATGGGACAAATAACATGTATTTTTTTAGATAGATGTGTGCATATTTACATACTACTGCTAGTATCTGTAGGCTTTTAAGAAAATAACTTAAGTGATTTTAGAACTTTTAATTTTAGCGAAAAAACAAGAAACTTTCTTGGAAAATTTTTTCTTTTAAATAAGTTTTTAACTGGACGGCATCTAAAGCTGCAGCTATGAGCAGTTAATAATTTAAATATTGTATAGGAACCCAAGGATTTTTTATCTTATAGAAAAAATGGCCGAACTCGATTTAATTGTTCTTTCAAAAGTCCATATAGTAAGTTCCTATGTATGTAAATGTCATGGAAGTGATGTAGGTGGGTAATTTCTAGAAAATATGCGGTAGGTATTTCATTCTGACTTGAATGTTTTTTTAATGGCGTGACAATAAATTATTGCATTGCAATTGCTATAAAATATTCCAGCGTTGCCATTACAATAATCAACAACAAAATCTGGAGAGGCGAGAAGAGATAAAACCTATAAAAAAAGAAAAAAAGTGAGGCAAATGGCAGCATTTTTTTATTTTCTTACCAAAATCGCCGGAAAAAGTTACCAAATTCAACAAAAAATTACCAAACTTATTTTATGTGCAGAACTGTACAAACATACATATCGAGCCCTAACAGAAATATTCCTAGAGCATCTAAATACCTTTCTGCATCAAAAAGAAAGTTTTGAAAAAAATGTCGCTTACGTTATTTTGGCAGTTAGGGCTCGATATGTCTATACATACGTATATTCTAAGAAACCAAGCTTTTCAGGCAATCAGAGCTCCATTCACCTAAAATTTTTAGGATTTTTAGGTTTTTTGAATTTTTTTAAATATTTAACAAACTTTGAAATTAAATTTTTTTTGAGTTCTGTTAAACCAAGAACAATATTTAAAAAAAATAACCAAAATTAAATTCCAATAGAAATGGTAACCGATGTCAAGAGTACAATAGAGAAATGGAGAGAACCTTGTTCAACACCAGTGTTGCCAGGTTGACGATTTGGTCGTCATTTTGAAGATTTTTTACTGCCATGACGATTTGACGATTTTTGTAACCCAATGACGAATTTTCTTTATGTGCAAAATTGGCTGGTTCTCAACTTTGAAGATAGTTACACAGGCAACTAAAAATTGCAATGTAGACACTTGATGGCAGTCTACCATTTATTCTATAGTTTATTTATTATAGTCGCACGTTTAATAGTATTATAGAGATTTAATTCAAAATTTTAATTTTTTGAGATTTCATCATATAATTAATAAGCTTGATAACAGATGACTAAACTTCCCAAAAATGGCGAAGATAGATGTCTTTCCGCAATTAATAAAATTTTTGTGTTGTGTTGGTTGATTTTTCCAACAGGGTGGTAAGATGATTTATTTTGGAACGAATTTCCGTCAACCCTTGTCAAGTTTGGTTTGCAGACAAACCGGTTTCGGCATTGTGCCATCTTCAGTGTCATTTTTCGTTCTGTCTGGTTCGAGTTTTTGTTTGGACAATGCCGAAACCGGTTTGTTTGCAAACCAAACTTGACAAGGGATGACGGAAATTCGTTCCAAAATAAATTTAAAAAAAAAATTTGTTAAAAGTTATGCGAATTTTAAAAATTCGTAAAAAAGTTAAACTCTTTATTTTTACGTATAGCAAACAGAAGCTAGAATAAATTGAAACAAAACCAAAAGAGCTTCCTGGTTCTTTTTATACAAATTTTTCATTTGTTGACGACTTTTTTTGATTATATGGAGGAAGATGGAAAAAAGTCGTGGTTACAGTTGATTTAAAAAAACGGTTGTACTTAGAGAGGGAAAAGCAAAAGTCATAAACACAAATTTCACATCATTTACTTACCCCTCCTACAACGGTAGATTTCCAAACAATACTGGATTCGGTACGATATCGACTGATCAGTTTAGTTGCACTTGGCGGTGAACCCATTAATGCAAGTGTAAGTTTTCCACTGCAATCAATTCTTTAAGTGTCATGGATTATTCGAGTGAAGGTATTTATCACTAGGTTGATACTTTTCTATTTTTTATCAAAAAATTTACTTGGAAATGTAGATGCTAGCAAAAAAGAGTGAGTACCGCTTCCTCAGGTCATGAAATTAGATGAATGTTGTAGATAATTCCATGTTATTTTCGAGCACATAATTGGATCTTTTCTCGCGACTTCGAAAATATATATAGTTTTCGATTTTCTTAATTTTTCGATTTTCAGTATTTGGTTTTGCTGTGCGAATGCCCAGGTCTGACTTCCTTAAGACAAACATTTTTCGGGAAATAGGCTACGGTAAAATAAAATAACATTGCCACTACACCTAAATGTGCTTCAAGTGTTACCTCCTCAATGGACCCATAGTTGCTGATATGTATTTTTATTGATATTTTCCTAGTAAGTGTCAAATGGCTTGCGAAGGTTAATAAATAAAAACTCACATTTCTTTTGCTTCAAAATAAATTTTATTACACACTTTATGCCATTGACCATTTTGCCCGCTCTTATTCATACGACTGCTCCTTAAACATTTACATAAAATTACATCCATCGTACTTACACATACAATTAATCGATCTAATATGAATATGAATATGCATACACTATAGTGCAACGATACAAATAGGTACTTGTACAATAACAAGTACCGGTAAGTGTTACAACACCAAGCGGGCCAAAAATCGTTTAACGATCAATTGCATATAAACTTAAATTAAAACTTAAATTATTTAAAAGAATTTTAAAATAATTGTTTCGTTTTTTATTTTTGTTTTTGCAAAACACACAAATGCAGGAGTACGAGTACAAATACATAAAATAATATTTGGAAAAACTAAGGTGCGCACGTTTTCACAGTTGTTTTTTTTTTTTGTTAACGGCGAATAATTAAAAACAAATCGTGCATTTTATTGCAAATGCTAATAGAAAATTAACGGTACTGGATATGTTGCTGATATACTTAGTTTCATTTTGCCACCTACAGACAAATTAAGCATTAAAAACATTCATTTAGATAGTATTTACATTAAGTAAAATTTATACGAGAATATATTTTCATTTGCATACACTTGCTTACATATATAAGTGTATGTAAGTAGTTATAAGTGTTTATGTTAGTTATCAATATTAAGCATACATATTTACATACAGTATTCTAAAATTTCTTAATAGCCTTCAACATACTTTTAATTAAGCTTACTTCTTTAACCTTTTTCCTTTCAGAAACCTTATCAATTGACTTAAATTCGTTGCATTTAATGAGTATTAGTTACCGCTTGCTTGTGTTTTAGCATAATTTAGAAAAAAAGATATTTAAGTTTTTTTTAAATAAAACAAAAATTATTTTACAACAAGTCAACAACAAAGTACATATATGTATGTATGAGTACGTAATAAGAAAATAACTATTATATTCAAAATAAGTTTATGTATTTATGCATTTATGTATACCTAGAGTTATGATTAAACGAGTACATAGTTCCGTTACATAAGTCATAAAATTTTATATTCACACATTTAAAAATTTTATTAGGGTGCCACACCAAAAAAAAAAAACATGGTGGGTTTCCGCCTGAACTATAAAATTTATTATATTTTAACACTTTCGCCAAAATATTTCGGAAAAATTTTAAGATTTACGTGAGCAGGATCGATTTGAAACGACCTCAGAAAATGGAGTTTTTATGAATAAAATTAATTTAAAAAAAATGTATCACCTCATATCTAATAATGGCAGATTTTAAGCATGTTAAAATAATATTAGTATTTTTCTAAAGTATTTTGCAGAAAATCTTAGAATATAATAAATTTTATAATTTCGATGGAATTTTGTATGGAAAGGGATGCACCCTAATGTGCATATAGAATGTATGTATTATAAGCATGTAACTAGTAGTCATGATACTCTTAAAACCCAGTAGGAAAAGTGAATCGTGAATTTTTCAACTTTGTGTTTGTTTGCTCTTCCGACCGACCAACCACGAGCGCTGCAGAACGATGATAAGCAATTTATTTTGGTTCAAATTAAATTATAGGGATATTATACCCGTAGAACGATAGACATTCTATGCGAACGATAGACATTCTATGGTTAACTCTCGTAGAGATGACGTGAATTCGCCACCAAAAATAGTGCGATTTAACCCGTTAGCCTTTTTATTGTGGGATTTTCTAAGATCGCAGCTTTATGCCAATAAGCAGCAATCGAGCGACGCTTTTAATGCAAACATAACCCCGCACATTGGGAAAAATTCAGTCGGAGCAGCGCGGCAGAATTATTAAAAGTCAGATCACTCGGATCCTTACCAACGTGAGAAGCTGTAACAATATAATAATTACCTCACATAAAAAATAAATGGCATTTCATACAGCTTTGCTGTTTTACGTCGGCCCAAACGCTAGATTGTTTTCTACGAGAAGCTTTTTTATGCCAGAAAAAGCTCGCTAAAAGGCGACGGCTATTAAAAAAAACGTTTTTTTTTTTATGCTGCTCGGACCAGGGGTCGAACTTTAGTCCTATCGAGTGGCGGCCGCCTCATAATTCGCAATATTCCATTTCAAAATCGAGCCGAACTTATTGAAAACCTCTATTAATGTTTCGTCAGTCACGCTCTTCCCACTGGGCATAGCCTATGTGTTTGTGTGATTAAATACGAATTTTTGTACATTTACACACGTTAAAGGTATTGAAAATTGTTATTTCTGACCATATAACGTCATTGAATATACATACAGACATATATTTATATTATTTTCTTTTCCATTTTTTCTTTCCAAGTTCCGTTTATAATTTGTATGTAGCGCATGCCATACCCCACCCATGCTTCCATTTATGAAAGCTAGTCAAAGTTATAATTACTTGTCAAACATAGTTTGATTTTCCTTTTTTATATAAGTAGTAACTACTTTCACTCACAAAAAAGAAAAATTTCTCGAAATTTGTTTCATCTACATATGTATATATATTTTTTTTTAATTGTACCACCCTCTTAGCTAAAGTAGTCGTTGCGTTGACTACATAATTCCAGATACATTTCCACTTTAGTTTGAGTTTATGAGCTTAATTCGCTCAACCCTTTGAACTACTCTCCTCAATATAAACATTACCGGGCTGCAATGTTTTTAAGATACGCCGTTCATGATGGTGTTTTGCCGGTTTTTCTGGAAAGAGAATAAAATGGAACGTAATTAGAACACAGGAAATACATATGTATGTACATACAACATATAATCTTTAATAGATGAACAACACATAGTCTCGCGAAGTACTATAATTTCTTATTGAATATATAACACATTCATACACATACCTACTAAGAAAAATTTGAACATAATACTCGTAACGTAATTAATAAAAGGTTAAATTTAGACTTAGTCATCTGCAGGGGAACCTATTAGAGCTGAATCGCAGGCGACCAGAAGTTTTGTTCACTGGCTTCCTGGGAATGGAAAGAGAAAAAAAACTGGTCTTTCATGAGCCCTCACTTCTGATTTTTTGAAGCAATAGGCCTTATCTGATCGATTCTTTACTACTTATTCTCCTTTTGTATTGAATGACCAGAGTTTCAGGTCTTGTAAGTCAGCTCGAGATCTCAACCTGTTATTTCATATAAAAATCTATGAGTTTCTATGGCCGCGTTGACGAAATTAAGCCTAAGACCATCTGTCGTTCGGAGGCGGCGTAAGCCTTTTGCACCTGCCATTTGTGTGACAACAGCAAGACTCTGCCAAACAATAATAAAAAAAACAGAAAAGCGACAAATATATACTTTTAATGAAATTGGCCTCAGCTATAAAAACGAACATATTTCAGCATGAAATTTGAAAGAGCACTTTAGTATCTCAAGTAATAAGTACTTCAGATTTTTCATTAACTACTTTCTGTTAAAACAGTTCACGCGTATGTCTGTATGGTTTGACTAAATAGACCTGCCCGCACTTAGGATGAACGATTGGCGCTAATCCGCAAAGGATAGAGGCAACTGGCGAAGTTTTTTGTCTCGGCCCAAACCGACAAAAAGTTGTAGTGCCAAATAAGAAGAAGAAAAAGAATACGATTTCGTGCTTAATACAATTACTAACGTACCTCAAAAGTTGCGATCAGGCATAGGAAATTTGTCGAATACAAAGAATCTTCGGAGTTATAAAAGAAGCTTTCTTGGGACATTTTGCAAGAAACATTGAAAGATAATACTGAAGACAATTCAACAACCTATACGTTGCAATTTTTACAATGAGGTCCAGAAAACTAAAATTTCTTTCACCATCTATTTTGTATTTGTCATTATACTTAAGTCAAAAGCAACTTGTTTCAGAAAGTAACATTACTTGAATTGGTTAATTTGTGGTTGAAAAGATGTAAAATTTTTGTCAAAGTCAGCATTTTTTCAATATAGCAAATTTGATGCAGTTCAACAGAGCTCCT